CTCGACCTGCTGGGCTCCGGCGATCCTTCCACCTCAGCCTTCAAGTAGCCGGAACTACAGGCTCGCGTTACCACGCCCGGCTAATTTTTTGATTTATTGTAGAGATGAGGTGTTGCCAAGTTGCCCAGGAGGGTCTCGAACCCGCGGACTCAATCATCTCCTCGGTTTTAATGGTCCTCTAAATAAAATCACAGCCCCCGTTCCAACTCCTTGTCTTGATGTCGACTGTCCCACCAGGCAGAAGCAGGATTGGACCTGGTGACAAACTGCCCATGACCCTGATGACTTGGTCTAGGGATTTCCACCTGAATATTCCAGATCAGGCGACTTTGGGGCTGTCAGCCACCAGCACCTGCTGGTGACAGGCTTCCCCCTGCCTCTTCTCCAAGCCTTTACCCCCAGCCACAAGCCCTGACTGGGACTTAGGGACTCACGATCCGCTGTTGGCCCATGGGAACTCCTCAACACTGTGCTGGAGCACCCGTTTACCTTCTAAGAGGAGAAAGGGACAGGGTCAGGACCACAGCCCCTTCCCCCAGGGACCCCCATGCCGGTCAGACACCCCACGACACTCCTGGGTTCCACATATACGCAGCGTGGGTTTGCCTGGAGAAGCCTCCAGTACGGCGCGATCGCCACGGAGACAGGCCCCTGGGGATCGAACTAGACCCACCCTGTAAAGAGAACCGGGGTCGAGCCGCCGGCGGGCACAGGTCCAGCATCAGAACTGAGGGGGAGGCCGGTCTGCCACAGCCGGGTCATCCGTGTCCATCCCGCCTCTCGCTCTCGCACCCACACCCATACTCACCGTCTCCCGGCTTCTGGGTGTCCCAGCATCTTCCTTACTGACTCCCCGGACCTGCATTTCGCAGGGAGAAAAGGGAAGAAACAAATACACGCGACTCTCTCGGAGATGATTCGGCAGCTCTGCAGGCCCAGAAAACAAAAGGGCCGGTCAGAACCCTGAAACCACCCCTTCACTTTAATCTTCTTTCTGACTGGGCAGCTTCCGAACTAGCATCCGCTGATTGGATAAGGCGACAGGTTACCACCCTTCTGATCTTGAATGACAGCAGATGTGATCCAATGGGGCTGGAGGAGGCAAGAAAAAAGAAAAGCTCGTTCTTTCTTGTAGCATTTTGAGGTTGAGTTGCCTCCCTGCACCGGAAGTTGGGAGGAGGAGCAGGATGTGGCGTGAATCGCGGAGTATGCTGGGAACTGTAGTACAAGAATGAGGCCTGGTGGCTTGATTGTTGCGCTGCAGGACTCCGTCCCATTATGTGGAGGCAGCAAAACACTTCAAGGTACCCTGTGAGAAGCTTCAAAATGAGTCCACATATTTTGCCCTGCTGGGGGAATCCACATCTTTCAGTGACATGTTGGACAAACTGGTCATTGCCGCACCCAAGTGCCAAAGAAACAAGTCCCCTGAAAGAAGAGTAAAAAGGAAAAAGGAAAAAATACATGAATAAATGAATGAATGAATGAATGAATGAATGAATGAATTAAGCCCCCCAATGCTTCTGGATAAAAGGAAATAGTTTGGTAAATCCTTCAGGTCCTCTCCCACTATCGAGGTTCTCTGTCCTCAATAAATCCTGCTTTTTTTAAAAAAGAGGGAGATTGTAGGAGAAAAGACAGATACACAAATGCGAGAAGTCCACAAACTCAGATGATCTTCTTGTGTATCAGAATATTAAAGACTCTAGACCAGGCTTGGTGTCAGCCTGTAGTCCCAGCACTTTCAGAGGCCAAGGTAAGGGGATTGCCTGAGCTAGGGCCTCAAAACCAGCCAGGGCAACTTGGTAAGACCTCATCTCTACAATAAATCAAAAAATTTAGCCAGGTATCGTAGTGCACGACTGTAGTTCCGGCTACTTGGAAGGCTGAGGCAAAAGGATCGTCTGAGACTAGGAGATCGAGTCTGCAGTGGCCAGCTGTGTGCCAGTATACTCCAGCCTTTGGGACAGAGCGAGACTCAAAATCAAAAAAACAAATAAATTTAAAGACTCGTGTTATGCACTCAATGACCCTGGAACAGATAAGCTTCTAAAACAGACTCCCAATGACATATTCTCTACAACCCCCAAAGACAATGTTGGTGATCTGGATGATACCATTACTGAGCCAGATCTAAGAAATCATCTCCATTCATTAGGAGCAATTGGGACAATCACTATTGTAAGAACTCATCTCTATGAGTTTGGAGAGAACTGGACACTCTATTGTACAAAGACAGCACTATGATTGTCCGCAGAGCAGATTGCTGAAAAGGTTTCTGAGAATTCATTTGATAGAAGGATGTTTTTTCTTCTGAAAGTAAAATGAGATAAGAAAAGAAACTGGGTGATTTTCAGTACCTGCAGATTCAACAAAAAAATAGAGAATCCTGCCAGAGCCCATGGGTTTGAGACCAGCCCGGCAACTTGGTGAGACATCATCTCTATAAGAAAATTTTTTAAAAAATAGCCAGGCATCATAGCGCTCATCGGTACTTCTGGCTACTTGGAAGGCTGAAGCAGAAGGATCACCAGAACTCAGCAGGTTGACGCTGGGGTGGCCATGAGATGCACTCCAGCTGTGGCAAATGAATGAGACTCCAACTAAAAAAATAATAATAAAAAGAGAATACCAAACAACCAGATTAAGAAAGGGGACAGACTGCAGACTGTGGGATTCAGCTAAGGCCTATTCCTGCATAGTCAGGAGCTCTTTCCCCTTGTGAAGATCTGGTACCCACCTTGGAGCATCCTTGCACAAAATGAGACCACATTTCCTATTTCTTGCCTTGAAAAGAATCCACCAAGTATGGAAGACCTAGGGACCTGGCCTGCTTGGACCTAGCTTTCCTAATTTTCATCATTTCTATAATCTAGAGTAAGTATTGTGCCTTGAAAGCATAGCCCCAGTGCCATCTGGTTGGCCTCAGACTTCTGCCTCATTGGTGGTCAGGTAATCACCACTCAGGACATGGAAGTTCAGCCATCATTGCCTCCATGAGTGGATAAGGTTGATGGCTGATCTGTGGGTTTCTGCCCACCCTAGCCCAGGTGACTGGTTGCTTTTCAAGTCTGGTGACATCACTGGTCTGACCCTGCTGGACATGAGTTTGACTCAGGTACCCACACACTCATCCTGCCCTGGGCAAAATCCTAGTTTTGCTCAGGGCCACATGTTCACTATATGATCATCCTAGATATCCCTACAAATGTTCTCCCCGAGGTCAGGTGAGGCCAGATTGGGTCCCTCTGTGTGTAAGACTTGTGCTCTTTAAGGAAGGCACTTGTCACACAGATCAGCCAGCTTGAGGAAAAAGACATGCTGCTGACTGGCTGAGACTTTGACAATGCCATACTCACCCTCCCGTCACAAGGCTTCCATTGTGCAGCTTCCTTGTTGACACTGATTTCATAGGGCTGAGGAGTTATGTGGAGCTTTGGGGCACCTTGCTGGGTGCTGCCCTGTTTTGGGGCCATGTGGTCACTTTCTCAAAAGAAAGTTATTATGTAGGTGTCACCATAAGGGAGGATAATATCTCAGCATTTACTGTGGACTGGGCAGGCCCTGGTGTTGAAGGCCCAGTGGGATAGCTAGGTGAGGTTGTCCTGTGTTCCTAATCTCACAGGGAACCTAGGATAAGACAGGAGCCCTTATTCAAAGCTGTGCCATGAAAACCATTGACTCCTGATTTCCAGATGCATGGGGAGCTTTAGGAACAAATTTCAGGAAAGAAAACATCAAATAGCCAGAATCTGTTCTGAGCCAGGAATGTGCTGGCCACACTGGAGTCTCCAGCCCCTGGAAAGCAACCTGTTTCCTTGCAATCAATGGAAGTTTCTACCTGCAGTTGTGTCTCAGTTTTGTGATCAGTCCAGTCAGGTGATGTTGGGTGAGGATGGCTACTAATTGAGGGGTGCTGTCAAATTGTTTTTATAGTTGGAATGCACTCTGTCATTCTGGTTAGAGTGCAGCAGCATTCATGGCAACCAGAGCTGCAACCTGTTGGACTAGATGATGCTTCTACCTCAGCCTTCCAGGTATTTGGAACTACAAGCACATGCTTTCATGTGCAGTTATTTATTTATTTATTTATTTATTTAGAGTTGGAGTCTACTCTGTAACCAAGGTTGTAGAGTAGTGGCATGCTCCCGGCCACAACAACCTTGACTTACAGGGCTTAGGTAATCCTTCCTCCTCAGTCTTCCAAGTAGTTGGAACTACAGGTACATGCAACCATACCCAGCTAATATATTATTTTTTTTGAGTTGCAGTCTCACTCTGTCGCCCAGACTGGAGTGCAGTGGCTGCTCCAGGTGACCGCAGCCTCGACCTGCAGGGCTCTGGCAATCCTTCCGCCTCAGCCTTGCAAGTAGCTGGAACTACAGGTGCATGCTACCATGCTCGGGTGATTTTGATTTGTTGTAGAGATGAGGTCTCGCCAAGTTCCCAGGCAGGTCTCGCACCCTCGGGCTCAGGCAATCCAGTCACCTCGGCCTCCCAAAGCACTGGGATTAGAGGCTGAGCCTCCAAGCCCGGCCTAATTTTTTGATTTATTGTAGAGATGAGATCTTACCTGTTACCCAGCCTCATCTTGAACCTGTGTCCTCAGGCAATCCTCTCACTGCGGCTTTCCAAAGTGCTGGAATTAGGTCTGAGCCACCGTACCTGGCCTAATTTTTCATTTATTGTAGATATGAGGCCTTGTCAAATGGCCACACCTGGTCCCCAATGCATGGGCTCAGGCAGTCCTCTCACCTCAACATTCCAAAGTGCTGGGATTATAGGTGTGAGCCACTGTGCCCAGCCTGCTCCATGGTTTTCTAGAGCTGAGATGGTGGGCTGGAGAGACCCAGGCTATCTACCTTGGAGAGGTTCTCCAAGTTGGTGGATGCCTACAGAGTAGATCCATTTCTCCACTGAGCTTATCTGGCTCTCACTGAGTGGGCCCCCATAGACTCTTGTCCCTGGAATCCACATGTTTTCTGTGTGGCACCCCCGTTCCAACATTAAAGACACTAATGCAGGAAACTGATACCAGAGCTAAGGGTGTGTGCAGCCTGGGACATTGTTGGGACACCTCAGGCTTTTCCTGGGATGTCTCCCTAGGATTTGGATTGGCTTTGGGCTCCCTACCTTATGCCCTCACAACAGGGCTACTCTACCTCATCTCACCTTCAGCCCTGGTAAAGAATTCAGGTGGGAGAGGCTTTTACTATCACCCAAGTTCCTTTGCCACTTAACATGAAACTTTTCTCCAACGCAGGGTAGATGCTCCCAGGCACTGGGACCCCTGCCCTTCAGAGCTGTCACTCCACATAATGGAAGGGCTGAATATTGCCACATTCAACTGAACTCTTGAGTTCTGGGTCTGGGCTGTGGTCCCAACATCTTAGAGTAGAGGATGAGGAGAAACACCCACAGAAATGAGTTAATGGGGCCTGTGTTCTCCCCTCTTTATTACTCCAGAGGGTGACTTGGGAGTGGATTTTGTACTGGATTCACACTCAGGGACAGATCACACTCTATCCTTCTCAGGTGAGCCCTGGAGACCTGTAGATGCCTCAGCACCATGTCATGCTCCAGGGACCAGGCCCAGGATAGCCTGTCCTGAAAGAACTCCTGCAGCCCAACAGGAAGAGCTTCAGGGGGTGCTGTAGGCACATTGGTGGGAGCCAGGCTGGAAAGGTGCCCTGTGAAAGGTCAGTCCCTTCACTCTGCTCCAACACTAGGCACCACCTACTGATCACTGCTGGGTCCCTTCTGGCCACTGATGCAGTCCAGCTGTGCCCAGGAGGCCATGGTCAGAGAAAGGCCCAGACAGGAAAATGTTCATCACACTACTGCTTCTCATCTGTGTCATGTAAAGGGTGGTTTCTGTGTCTGGGAGTGTTCAGGGTGCCCCACCCAGTCCACGAGGCCATGCTCTGATACAGGTTCATAC